TTCTTCGAATTAGGTGAGTCTTCTGAATGCGCTCATGGGTTGAAGGAAGCAATGCCGGCCCACTAACTTGTGTATGTAGGATGCTTGTTGTCTTTGTGACTCTTGCATGATTGTTTGTGTATATATGTGTTGACCAGTTGGGTCTTATTTTTCGTCATTATTATATGTGATACTGTGTATGCTGAGACCATGAGTAGTCTCTAGGATAGCTGATAACTTATAGGGCGTGTTGTTTTCCCACTGAGATTTCGGGTAGTATCCAGGGTTGCTAATAACCCATAGATGTTTATTTTTCATGTGCTATGTGTGGTATTTTGGGGAACTCACTAAGCTTTGTGCTTACGATTTGTAGTTTAAATGTTTTCAAGTTTTCTTATAATAAAGGAGGGGCACGACTCGATTGCATCGCATCCATATGATAATTTTTAACGATACTCTGATAAATGTTTTATGATTAAATGGTCCTATTTAAGATTTTTTAGTTGTGATTTTAATAAACACTTAAATTTTTAATTGAAAAATATTGACTGAGATTTAGGGTGTTACAAGTTGGTATCAGAGCCTTCGTTTAAGGGATTTAGGCACACTCTCAAGCGTACCTGAACTCAAATTGAGGTATTGGTAAAAAATTTTAAAAGAAAATGATTTTCTAAAGAGGTTTTGAAAATAAAAGGTGGTGTGATGCATGCAATCAGTCGAGCTCAAGTAAGTATTTCCTAAAACACCCATACATGTTTTATGATTAATGTTTGATATGTGTATATGAGAATTGCATGCTAGATTAGCGATAAGGATCTGCTCAGTGTTGTATGGTAGAATGTAATATAGGAAAGATGCCTTATGCATGTTATGTGAGTTGGTAGTGATGCATTCTAGTGACTAGAGACTTAAGGAACTTCTGAGGTAGGACAAACTATTGTGCAACTCTCGTTTGTGTCTAACCGTTGTAGGGTTGGGTCTTTTAGTCGAATGATTATCTAAGCTTTGTTGCATGTAATTGTATTCATGAAATAGTTAACTGATATTAGTATAGGTCTTTCCACAACCGACGACAGAGTGTGGTGGTAATCCTAGGAGATCCTAGGAAGCGCTTTAGTAAGAGTGGTCCGGTATTTAGTAGATTTTGAAGGGTATCGTTATGAGGAAGTGACTTAGAGGATTCATGATGATTATGAGGAAAGTATAGATAGGTGTGGAAGGTAGTATTGGGCCCGTACTACAGGAAGCACAAGATCCGTACTCAAATCATGGAAATTCTCGAAAATTCTAAGAAGCTAGTTGAAGGTAGGAACATGGTTTGACACTATGAGTCCGTTGCGGCATTTTGGGTGTTATCAGCTTTTCAGTTTTGGATTTCTGGGAAGAAGAAGTGTATGGTGATTGTTTAGGCCTTAGTGGCTATATCAATTGGGGTTAAATGGTACAGACCTAGATGAGTAGTCGATTTTAAGGTCTTAGAAACCTACTTGAGCTTGTGTTAGTCTGAGTCATGGCACTAAAGGAGGGAGCAGTTGAGATGAGCGGCTTGAGGATTGCAGTCTTAAGGTTAAATTATTGGCCGATGGTTTATGCTCATTTAGCTTTCTATGTTGGGGGGGGGGGGGGGAAGCGAGCATATAATTGCACAGAACGGAGGACGACCTAGTTGGGTAAATCTGATGGTTGCGGTATCCACAACAATGGTGGAAATGTATGAGATAATTCTTGTGGTTTGATCGCCTTGATAGTGGAAAGGGAGTAATTTTCATGGAGATTGTAGAAGATGAGGGCTAGGGGTATGCCCTCCTTAAGTTTAGTTAGAGTGTGTTCTTGTAGCTTGTTCCAGGTGATCAGGAGAAGTGAATAGGGAATGACAACTTTCGTTGTCTATGTTGTATCTTGACTATGAGGATGATGCCACAAGTTTTTATGATTGAGTCTCATGATGGAGTGAAGGTCAAGATTTCAGAGGTAAAGTGTATGTTTGTCCAATTGTTCTTAGATGGAGAATCGGTGCTATGAATGGATTGTCATAGTTATTTTTATTTGCATTGGATTCTTGATGATATAGGCGGTTATGATTAGGAAGTTTCCGAGGTCTGCATCTGAGATTCGTAATGTCTTTGACTCACCGTGTATTTATTTTGAATATCATCTTGCATTGGGTTATGCATTTCAAGAGTCAGGGATGGTATGTATCTAGCTAAGCCAGTTTAAGTGTAGTTGTTTGCAACATCATTTGGTGATAGTTCGAACCAAAGTGGGGGAGAAATTTGTATGCTACTTGTCAGATCAACGATTTGTTCGAGTTCATAGTTCCAGAAGAATGGGTTTCATGGATCGGTGGTTCGGATACGCAAGACTCTGGTTTGAGACGAAGGTGCATAGCAAGTTGCCATCAGATATATGTGCTCGTAAATACATGAGTTTTCTTTGTGAAATAAAGTTTTTGGTCAAGGAGCTCGTTGTAGCCAGTAGTTTCTTTGGTGAAAGCCGATGAACTATCAAAGATAAGTAGTGTTTGATCTGTCAATTAACTTCAGGTTTGGCTATATGTAGTTCTGCATGGGTTTAGTTTAGTAGAAAAATATTGGATTACCAGGTTGTTTTCATTACATTCTGCATTGTTGGTTGTTCTCGTTCATTGTCAATAGTTGGGATGCTTTGAATGTGTCAAGCCACATAAGTTGGAGGTCACTGGACGTGAAAACCTATCGTCATGTTTTGTTTAATGGTATATCATGGCTTCTGGGTATGTTTTCTCTAATTAGTTGGATTGCGGAATTATTGTCAATAGAAGACTCGTATTTGATTCGGTAGTAAGTAGAACAATGAAGTGAGTATCTATTTGTTTTAGATTATGGGTCTTTTGGGCTCCTTGTCATCAGTTGGGATTGTAAAAGGATGTGGAATTGTATCAAGGGAAGGTAGTTTGGATACGACAATCTTTGTTGAGAGTAGTAAAGTGCTTCATCTGGTTTGGGGTGTGAGCACCCGATATCGTTTGATTGTGGGATCTTAGTCCAGTAGGCTCAGTGTGGTGTTGATTGGGGTAGGAAGATTGTGGTTGTGGTTGTGGGAGTGATGTAAGACTACGAAACCACCGTAGCATTCACTAGGTTAGTATGCGGTTGTGGGAGTGATGTAAGAATGTGGAGCAGCTGTAGCATTCACGAGGTTAGTATGCGATTGTGGGAGTCGTGTAAGACTACGGAGTAGCCATAACATTCAATAGGTTACTATGCTGTTGTGGGATTGATGTAAGACTACAGGGACCCCATAAACATTCACTAGGTTAGTATGCGGATTGTGGAAGTGTTGAAGGAATGCGGAGTAGCCGTAACTTTCATTAGGCGGGTAGGCAGTTGTGATAGTGATGGAAGTCTACGACTTGGCACGTGGCATTCTCTAGGATGATTTAGAACATCATAGGTTCGGCTGAAGGGTTGTTAGTGGGCCTCAACATTTTTAATGCTTAGGTAAATCGTAGGTTGGGCTGGGGCTGTGACAACCCGACACTTTACACTGTACAATCGATCCATATATTGATAATTCACTTGAATTTAGTATCTTTTAGAAGAATGTTGGGTCCGCACGAGTGGTTTAGGCTTAGTATATCATAGATATGGGTCTTAAGAAGGGTTAGGAAGGGTGTTGCAACACAAACTCAAGCCAAACACACCAAGAGAGGGTTGTGCGGCTAGCCAGCCGCACACCCAACCGCAAACCCCCTCCAGCCTCACACCCGACCATATATATAGTAGAGGACCCCCTTCAATTCATTTTTAGCTTCACCTTCTCTCTCTCTCTCTCTCTCTACTTTCTCTCTCTAGAAACATCATCCAAGAATAGTTAGAAGGCCTCCAAAATGTGAAGAACATCATCTTTCAGCTTGTTATAGAGGTAAAACACTTGAATCCAAGCCAAAAACTCATAGTATTCTTCGTGTTCTTCACACCTTGAAGGAGTGCGGCCGCACACCTTCATCAGCTGGCTGCACACACTCAAAACATCCTCCAAAGTGAGGGTATGACCTCTATAATTGATCTAAGACTTAGTTTGACACTTGAAACCTCTCGAAATCGACACATAGGACTCAAACAAGGACTGTACAACGCACACTCATGTGAACGGCTGCACACACCCTCTGTATGGCCGCACACTCTAGTGTGCAACCTTACACACAAGTCTGGCCGCATTCCCTAGCCGCACACTCAATTTTAGGGCCATACACCCACCTTAGTACCTATATTTGGCCTTAAACTTGTAAGAATCACTACTAGAAAAATAGCCTTTTACGACGCGCAATTAATGACACACACGGATAAAGGGCGCGCATTTGTGCGTGCCCTAAAAATTAATGTCAGTTTTCCAAAATTTGAAGGATAGAAGAGACCCATTTTTGGCGTGCCCTTAAATTTGTGTTAGAAAAAAAAATACGGAGGGCACCTATCAAAAACTGTGCGTCGTGTAACTGTGTCGCTTTATATTTTTTTAGGAAACACGCGTTTTTAGGGGGAAAAAATGAAATCCAAAAAATTAACCCCACCTATTCATCCCAAAAATTGCCTCCCTCTTCGAATTAGGGCCTTCATCTTCATCCACAACTTCCTCAATTCCTCGATCCATAACCTCCACCAAAAACCTAATTCTTGGTTCCAACAAACTCGTACACTCTTAATTCGACCCTAATGAGCTGAGGATTTAGGGTTCTTACCTCCCAGTTATCAATTTGAGTCGATGATTTAGGGTTCCTAAATCCGACCCTAATTTTTTCTATCACACTCTCGTATTTCCATCTCATCCCTCTCGCCTGGATTTGCGCCTGGATTTGTTAGGGCTTGTTTCATCCATTCATTGCCTCCCTACCACAAGCGATCTTATAAATCTGCCCAATCGACCTCTTCAATCATCTTTTCTATATCTTCATATGGTAAGAGCTTCAAGATTTATCTCTTTCCCAATTAGTGAGTTCTTTTGTTTTTACTTGACTGCTGAGTTTGTTCTTGCTCGATCTTCACATGTTTCTTGGAATTTTGCGTGTTAATCGCTTTATTTGCCGTGAAGATACAAGCTCTTCAGATACTCTGGTCGAAGACATCACCGGCTCCCCTCCCGTCGCTGTGGTCGGTCTTCCTTCTCCTCGCCGCCGTTGCCACTGCTTCTTCCACCCTCGCTGGAGTCAGACCTTCTTTTTCCTTGCGAACATCCTTTTCTTCCTTCCCGTCGCTGGCATCCTGAACTTGTTTGGTAAGAGTTTTATGTTAGGGTTCAATTCATAATAGCCTTGCTGGAAATCGGGAAATGAAACTGCTGGCAGAAGCTAATAAACCAGGAAGCCTTATCAACAACTACGTGACTCAGTTAAGTTGTATGTTGTCAAGCAAAGCAACAAATCTTGTGAGCCTCCAAGCCCGCCTCAGCAGGTTCCATCATCACCTCAAGGAGATTCTCAGCCATAAGAGGTTACCTCGTTAACACCCACACCCTACTCCAATTTACCTTGTAATCTCTCTCTCTCTCTCTCTCTTGTATGTGCAAAAAAGACGTAAATGTCCTCAATCATCATCATCCTGATCATTTTTATTGTAGGAATCGAACGAGAGTGGACTGTGATGTGAGTGTGGAGATTTGATTTCTTTTGGTTTTGGTTTTTGTTGGTTAAGTTTTGATTTGAATGAATGGTGTTTTTGTGAAGAAGTGGAAATAAACAAAGAAAAAAACACAAGGTATTGCTTGTTGCTCTGCAGGTTTGGTTTTTACTTTTTGTATATGTAATGCTTAATTACACCTTCGTACACCACGAAACTTATTATAATTATTATTTCATATTATGAATGGTGTTGCACATATAGAATACATTCCACTATTGACCAGTCAATTAGGTGTAGCCTTTTTTGATGATAAACTTAGTTCTCTTTGAATGCAATGGTTACAAGACAATGTTAGTTAAAAAAATATGGATTTGAGTAAATTACATTTTTGTTTTTGACAAGGTTAGGTACGTACTGCTCCTATAGTTGTATACACTTCCAGGAAAGGCTCATCTGCAGCTGGGCTTACTGCTTCTGTCATTTGTGATAACAACACTGTAACTTTCTTATCTTTTTACTTTTTTTATACAAATATTCTACAACACCCTTCCATATTAGGGCTGCCATACATGAAGCCATGGAACAACAAACAATATCCATAACCAAAGCAGGAATAACAACAATTCTGAATTCCAGGACTTCTGTATTAGCTGCAACAAACCCTCCATCAGGTCGTTATGATGATCTCAAAACTGCACAAGATAACATTGACTTACATACTACAATTCTTTCAAGATTTGACCTCATCTTCATTCTCGAAGATATAAACATGTTCAGCCAAGACAAGGTATTTTTTATATATATTTATTTAATTATGTTGTTTATTACCCAATATATATATATATATATAATTATCCATATTGCTGCTATATATATATATATATATATATATATATATATTTAATTATGTTTTTATTACCCTAAATATATATAATTATTTAATTATGTTGTAGATGGTAGAGAACTTCTACAGATTCTTCTTGTTGTTAGAGCTGAAGCTACTGCTCAAGACACGCAACATGGAGGTACAACTCTACATATTGCTGCTATGACTAATGATTTCGAGTTAGTTAAAGTAAGTTTATTTATTTATTTATTTATTTATTTATTTATTTATTCTTCCATCAATTTCCTCAAGTGTGTTGACATTTTATGTACAGAAAGGCGTGAATGAGTTGAATTGGTTGGACCATTAACTACTGTTATGTTTGAATAGATTATTCCTTATGCTGGAGTTGATGTGAACATAAGGAATGTGCAAAAAACCATTCCTTTGCATGTGGCAGTGGCAAGAGGATCAAAATCATGTGTTGGAATGCTTCTTTCTGCAGGTGGTTTGGTAGAAAAAGGGCATCCCTTTCCTTTGCTGAGTATTTCCTCAGTAGTTTCCTGCTTAGCATCGCCCTCTCCAAATCCATTGCCCTTGTGATTTTATTACCCATCAACAAACAAACAAACAAACAAAGATGAGTATGAGTAAACAAATGAAATGCAAGTATTATGATTCATATGTGTAAGCAAACCTTGAGGCGTGATGTACTACTTTTTGGAGGAAGGATAGTCGGCGGAGCTCGATCTCGATGTAGACGGAATCAGATGGACCGCCTTGGACCCCATTTTGCCCTCATCCTTCAGAAAGCTGCAGTTTTGTAGACTTAACTGTGCCAAAAGGTCAATATTACCCCTCAAATTTTAATAATACTTGTAGCACTTCATATAAGTATCAAATTTGCCTTTCAAATCCGCAGGTGATGGCTTTGCTTGAAGATCCTACATGGAAACTGCCTTGAGCGTGTGATAAATGTCTATGTTTCTAAATCCAGAAACCATATATGGTTCAACTGCTAATATTCCAATACAGTTAAGAAAGATGAATACCTTCTGAGTACTAGAAATCATAGTTTTTTTTCTTATGTAATCAAGAGAGGAAGAGAAAAGAGATGATCTTTTCTTTGGAGTCATATGGGAGATGTAAGATTGATAGTTAAATTCCTCCTGGTGAGCTTACATATAAGCCTGTGATTTATAGAATAAAACACAAAGGGACCCACATGTCCTTGAAGTTATAGATTTATCCCAATCATAAACCTTCTATTTAACCAGATTAAGGCTGTTAGAAAAGAAGAATCTAATCACTAGGATGACTAATTGACTATACGACCCCTGATCCAGAAGCCAAGCATCTTTTTCATTCTTCACTACTTTTATCTACCGATTTAAATAAAAAACCATTATCTTGGACTCCAATCATGATTATATGTTTATGTGGGCGAAAACATGCAAATATAATTAACCTGTAGGATAATAGTATGAAGGGTATTTTGGTAAATCATTATTCCTTAGTTAGTAAGAAAAGAGGGATTGAGCAGCCTTGAGAGAGAATTAAGTTAGAAAATATATAATTCAAACAAAAAAACCAAGCATTCACTTCATTTCCCCTTTGAAAATCTCCCTTTGGAATTCCAAGCTCTGTTCCCCATACAACAAAAGAACAGTCTTAGTTTTTAGTGCCATATGTGTTCTTTTACACTTTTCTTTCTAATTTTCTATCCATTTACACAGTTTTAGAGGTTACTTTTCTTTTTCTAATTTTCTATCCACATTTGTTGATTGATGGTTGTTTATTATTCGAACATATGGTTTTGGGTTTCAGGTATATAGAGTTTCAGATACGGAACTTGTGAGTGTGCTTCCGAGTGCAGAAGATGAGGTCAATGTAGCTTGCTTTCATCCTCTTACTGAAAGTGGTCTTGTTTATGCAACCAACGTCAGTACTTTATCTAATAAAAAAAACTTTAGTCTATATTTTTATTTTTATTATTTATTTTTGGTTGTAGGAAGGCAAACTTAGAATCCTTCAGCATGATGGTGGTCATGCGCCCAGACCTGATCACTTTTTTGAAGCAAGAGCAGTTGAGGTACAACAGCTCTTGTATTTTTAATACATTTGCTAAAACTGGGTAGATTTGCTAAAGGTGCTTTTCTATTTTATTCTTTTTCATGAATAAACTTAATAAGTCCATGCATATGTTAAATAGGTCCAATAATAAAACCATTTTTCATAGTTGATTAATACTTGTGCATAAGTCCTTAGCATATGTAATATCAAAGAAGATAATGGACAATGTACATTGTGAATCTGATTTTGATTTGATATGTGTAGATATCTTATTTAACTGCATTGCAACTTGGAATTAAATGGATATTTTTTGGAGGGTTTTTCATAAGGGGTGATTGCTCATGAGGGTAGTTTAATAATCTATTTACTTGGGTAATCAGTAATGCTTCATTTACTTTCTGTGTATAAATAAATAATTTATTTCTTTTCCTATTTGCTTATAATTCAGTACCTTTGTGATTGAATGTATTGTGGGTAAGAAGGGTGATTCAGACATTCGAATGGTAGTGGATGCATGTTGTCCCCATGATATAAGAGAAGAGACAGATCCAGAATATTTCTACAGGTATAATATCTATTTATACATACATGATGATGTGTAATTATGCCGTATATACTGTATATATTAAGTTGGTTGGTATTTTACTTTTAGGCATATTCCTCTGAATTGGATCAATGGTGATGCACACTGTTCTTTTCCTTCTTTTTCTACTGCATATGAAGACATCAAGGAAGGACATTCAAGCTCAACAACTTTTATTGAATGCTAAGGTCTTGTATGCAAAACATTTTCCGGTTTGTGTTGCAGGTTTGAGATGTTCGAGACGAAGAAGATGATGAACAGTAGGCTCTGAGAGGGTGGTGGCCTCTAGTTTTTTGATTTTTTTTGTTCTTTTGATTCATGAGAAAAACACACAAAAAACTTTTTTTGGTATTTTGCTTCAAACGAAAATAACAGGAACAACAAAAAAAACTCTTATTTCTTTTTCTCCTTATTCTTGTTTCGATTAGTAGCAGGAAGGTCTTGGCCTCTTGGGTCACTCTTATTTCTTTTTCTCCTGCTTTTCTATTTTCTGGCTCAATTAATGATGTTGGTGATGTTGGTTTCGATAGTGAGCAGGTAAGGGTGACTTGATGGAGGCTGGAAATATTCGGTTGTGATGGGTTCGTGGAGAGTGTAACGGAGTAGGTAAGTAAATTTACCATATTTGGTTTTAATTTGCAATAGGACTGAGAGGTGTATGGTGTTTCAGGTGAGTTTGGTGGTGAAGTTTTGAAGGCTCAAACATATAATGAGTGTAGCGGCGAAGGATAGAACAGGTACCATTTCTGCAGTTTTGTTTGGTATTTTTGGTGTTGATCCAAGTGGAATTGCAAGTGGATAAAACTTTTGCCTGAACACATTTTCTAGAATATACCACAGCCTGATTAAATAATAAACACAAACAAATAAATAAAATGAATGTTGCATTCACTTAAGGGATCCCAAGGTTGCATTCAAGTGTTAATCCAATTGGAATTGCAATCTTACCTGTGAACTTGGTAGGTTTAAAAGTAGAGTATCTTAATAAGAATTAATTTTACAGGATTGATGAAAGAGAATAGCTCTGGAGTTAGAAGAGGAAAAGAAAGCTCAAGCTAAAAGAGATAAAATGCTGCAAATGCAAGTGTTGCATTCTTCATTTCAATTGTTACTATGAAACACAGAGTAGATTAGATGAATACAAATTTATATATTGTAATGAAATAGAATTGTATGACATTAAATTTTATGCAATGGATTCTATTTTTTGTATATGGTAATTTATTTCTATTATGAGATATTAAATGCAAATTTAATTTAAAAATTAATAAATATATAAATATATTTTTTTAAACATTTAAAATTATGATACGCAAAAATGTGTGTCATCGTCATTAATGACATGGCCTTTCTTGATACGTATTGCGTGTCATTAACACGCGCGTCGTAAGGTTACGACACACGAATGCGTGTCGTTTTCCTTTATGACAGGGCCTTCCTTGATACGCATTGCGTGTCGTAAATGCGCGTCGTAATTGCACGTCGTAAATGAGTGTCGTAAATGCGCGTCGTCTATAGATGACGCGCAAAAGCGCGTCGTCTCTCTTTATGACAGGGCCTTCCTTGACGCGCATTTGTGCGTCGTCTGAGCCTTTTACGACGCGCAATGGGATTCGTAAAAAGCTGTTTTTCTAGTAGTGAATCACTAAGTACGAAACATGGGACACTTAATCCTAATGAATCCAAGTTTTTAGGGTGATTTTCGCATCATGTTAAGTCATGAAACACCCTAGCTCTAACTCATATACGTGTCACCATATGATTAATAGGGACCACTTGTGTTCAGAGCATCCGTTGACACTCAACACTCATATAAATCGCACACTCAGAACCTAAGTTAAACAGTGAGTTCATACCCATAAATTAACCTTTCAAACGCTTTTTAATGTTTTTATGGAGGGGAATACAAGTTGAATCAAGCAAGTTATAGTACTAATCATATGTGATTTATAACTTTTTGTCAAAAGAATTCTACATTTTCAATTTACCTTGCCAGTAAAGTTGTTTCAAATATATATCAAACTCGTTTTCATGTTCAATTTTTCTGAAAACTACTTTTCGAAATTTTCAAAACTTATTTTATTTTCCAAATCATATCTACACCAATATATTTATATAAGTAAGGATTGAAGGACTTAGAACTGATAACTGACCTTATTTCATGTTCTTGTTTGATTGTGGACTTAGTGTATTACGTTATCTGTCCTACTATTGTTGAATTCTTAGTTATATATGATATATTTTTATGTTGGATATAAAATCTTTCAGTACAGTGCAATATCTTTACGTATCAAAGGCATTCAACTAAACAACTCTATTTATCTATAATAGGTATAGTTAAGGATTACCACTCATTACTACTGTTACTATGATGCGCACTATGGTCAGTATAATTACAAGGCTATACGTGTAATAGACTATAAGAAGAGACACTATAACCTACATCAAGAGAACACTACATAGTACAATAAAAGAATACTGTATACTATACGAGAGGAAATACTATAATAGAATGTGATGCACTATTTCTCTATACGACCCATCGCTATGCGATCGTCGGGTAACCAACGCCTCCTGGAGGGAGAGCGATCACTACGTGTATAGATCTATACATGATGGATTTTCCCCCATCTCGACTGCTAGCTACAGTTCGAGCCTACTAGGCCCAGGGATGACAAAACACTACTACACTATTTATGACCTGGAGGGTCAACCGCTATACCACTATCACTCAGTATGGTTACGTACATGCTCACATTCAAACCTTAAGTAAATCCACTAATAAATAAGGGTAAAACAAACTTCTGGAGGTGTATACACATTTAATACTATTTGGAGTTTACATTCACTACTACATTTCACTGGCAGTGACGCTGCTGGGGTAAAACTCTATTCTTTCTTTATATGAACGAGCTTAAAACTATATTTTCATTACTGATGTTTTCACGAGAAAAAATATTACATTTTCAAAGAATCAAACTTACAAATAACCTAGTCTTGGTAGAAGACTACTTTTGCTGGAAATTATGGGATTTTCTAGGGCTCAAACTATCTTAAAACTTTGTTAACAACCATTAAACTGTGCGATTTGTAATCACCTTTATACAAGCAATGACCCTAAATACTTATGAACTCACCAGCCTTATGCTGATACTCGTTTTCAAAATAACTTGTATTCTCAGGTCAACAATAAACAGGTGCTGATGCAACTTTCGGGAAGATGGAGCACATATAAGACCCATCTTTTATTTTGTTTATACTTTTGGTGTCTATCAAACTGTATAGAACACGTTTGTCTTACAAATATTATATTAATGCAATGGATGTTGTTGCTTGTTTTTACTATTATGCATTGTTATGATACTGTCATGATGTCATCCACTCCAGAACGTATTCCGCCATTATCGGTTTTGGGGTGTGACAGATTGGTATCAGAGCTTTGTTTATAGTGAATTAAGTATATCAACCCATAAAAGATATACGAACTATAAACACTTCGGGACTAAAACACTCTAACCAAGAATATATACTTAACTATATATATATATATATATATATATATATATATATATATATACACATCAAACATATGGTCAAATCTGGGTGGATGTACCCTGATCAACTACATCTTCCTAGGAGAGACTAGCATGTGCCTAAGGATGGTTGAGGTGTTGCAACAAGTCTAAAAACTTACCGACACTACTACAAGAACATTTGAACAAGAATACTATAGGAGTATTCCGTGAGAGCTAAAAAGGTCGTTACTAGTAGGGAAAAAGTTGCTTAATGGATACTTTACGGTTACATGTGGCTAAGATGTTATAGACTTAGAATCTGTGATCTTTGCTTTACTTCCTGTTCTTTGTTTGGTTGTGGATTTACAGTTAGGGTCGCTCATTCGAAGGTCTATCTTGTTTCGGTTGCATGTAATTAGTATGCATTATGCATGTATTGGTCTGACTAATAACGATCCTATTATAAGTATATTAGATTAGTACGTCTATTAACTATTCTTCCCTTTTTCTCACATAGATATCATGGATGGATTTTATCATGGTGACCCGTACTTCCCAAATCACGGTAATGTAGGATAGCTTCAAGAAGAGCCCAATGAGGAACATCAAATCCCTTTGGATGACCACTAAGCAGAAGGCTTCTCGAATGGGTCTGACTCCGAACCCGAAGTCAACAACCTACCCTCTGTGGCCCCGGTCCCGAACCCTAACCCCCTCCAGGCCTTCCAAGGCCCGACGCCTGCATGGGTGGAATGCATAGAAATGTGGATGGAAGAGCAAAATCAACCCATGCCATTCAATGGATACCGAAGCTTTTATGACACAAGCGAAAGAGGATCAGCAAACAGAGTCATGGCCATCCTGGTCCGAAGAGTTTCCTGTAATGAAATCCAAGGTAAGATAACCCTCCATCGTATCGCAGAGGTTGATACAATTGGAGGACTGCACTCCCTTCGCTCCAGCCGCCTGGAGCATGCTAGGGAGTGGTCCGCAGCAGATAACGAGTCTTTTCTACAGGCATTAGCTGAGACTTCGGTTGAAATCGTAGGGCTCCGGGTTCGCTAGAGGGTCTATGAGCGACACCTCCTTGACATGGAACGCCAACTGGCCGACCTTCGAGTTCGCCCATGAAACATCTACCGTCGGCGATAAAAGATGACTAGCGCATATTTTCTTTTGACTTAGGAATAACCTTTAGCGTCTGTGTTTGAATGAAGCACTTGTCTATATAATATTCCCATCTTTCAGTATGCTATGTAGTCATCTAAACTGTCAATCATTTTCCCCTCTTATGGTTTGATGCAAGGTCTACCATTAGGCCATTTTTCCAAAACTTATTTACATCAGTAATACCATTAGTATTGACGGTTATCTAACCTATTGGGAAAAGTCTATACTCTTATGTCTCCCTACTCGATATATGACTTTGTCTGACAACTTTTCTATGGTGATTTAATTCATGAAACACTCTCATCATACTCACAATTGTTTCTCACTATTGTCGTCATCCTTATAAATTTTCAACAAAAGATGCCTCCCCGTAAGCACCCGAACAGAGGCATGCCTGCGAACCAAACTCCACCGCCTCCTCCTCCTCCTCCGCAGTTCGATCCGGTGATGTTTCAGATAGCTCTAACCGCAGCTGTGACTGCAGCTATAGCCCAAATAAATT